CTTCCCTCACTGAGATGCCATGAGATGTCAACAATATGATGTGCAAAATGCCTAGCAGAGGTAGATGTTCACTAAACATGAATCCTCTGCCCTTTCTCCTCTGGCCAGGGTCCCTGAGCACAGGAGGTGACTCAGTATTAGAGTCCATGATTCTTCAGTTGTTATAGGAGTGTCTCATGCTGGTCACAAACATCCTTCTAAGGAATCCTGGTGACAGGAAATTGTGTGCAACTAATTCCTACAATGAGAAAGCTCTACATGACAGGCGATCTGCTTGCTGAAGACAGAGGGGCCCATTAAGCAAGCACATTTGACCTGTTGCCAGGGTTTAGACACTCTGCAGCCTGGCTTGCTGCCCATTGCTCCTTGTGGCTGTGAATCAATATTGTGACTGAGAGGGCAATGGGTCAACTACATTCCATTAACAGATCAAAGTGTTTCACTTAGAGTCTTAACAGCAAAAGAAATATACAGCTTAGGATGGGTATAAGCTTGGCAGAAGCAGACACATGAGAATTTTAAATGTAAGTCTGAAAAAGCCAAAGACACTAATGAACTCTCACAGCCTGATCATCAGAATTAAATCTTCTAACTTCAGCGGTTCTCAATATTTTCCCCTCTGCTACTGGGTGGAGGACACAGGTTTCCATAAGAGGGCTCTCCGAACTTGGAAATCTCCATCAGGCAATTCTGTTGGTACTTACCATCTCAACAGAGTAGCTCATTTTATTTATAAAATGATGTGTCATAATTTTTATGCAGCTTGTTTTTAAGTCAAGTTGGAAACCTAATGGGGAAAAAATTAGCATTCACCGGGTAAGATGTAGATTTCTCAGCTTCTTTGCATTTTTTCCCCCAAAAGACATTTTACATTCTCAAGATATCTTCAGTGACAATTCATATTCTCTTCTCCTAAAATATTTTTTTTGTCATTTATTAGCTACGGCAAGTCCATGAACACAATTTTTAAAGAGAGCTGTTTAGAGACTACTCACTCGACCTTTCATGAATGTTAGCTATCTCTTGTACTCATTTGGGTTGGGAAAATAAAGGTGGGTGTTATTTCATATAGATAGAGTAGAATGAGACCCACAATTATGAAAATGATTCCAGGACAAGGAAAAATTCTTTTTTTTTTTAAGCTGAGCCATCCTGCTACCTATTAGCAGCTTAGTGGCAGCTCAGTTTGGGACAGGCATCGAACCGCTGTTGCTCAGAGCTCAAACTCTTGAGCGAGCTCTTAACCAACTGAGCCACTCGGCCAGCCCAAGGAAAAATTCTTGATAGGTCAAGAAGAACATAAATTCTCTACACGAAGAATATGTAGACATAAAAGTTGGGAAATAACTTTCAGAAGCAAGAATATGATTACAGATGGGATTTGAGTGTGATATTTTAAAATATCTTTAAACATAGCTTATTTGTTTCACTTGGTTTTCCATTAGGGTACAGATGGTGTTAAAAATTTTATTCTGGGCCATGTATAACTATAATTCCTCTAAATGAATGGCTGCCAGAAGCATACATGAATGGCTGTATGAGTTTGTTCACTTGGAGATGATGTCAGTTTACTTATACACACTGTTGTCGTTACTATTAAAATAAAATCTAGGGGCTGATTCAGCATGGCTCTTTTGGTGGGAATATCATTTTGTTGGTAATATAATTAATTGCATGCATATGTAGCTATCAGTATCTAGAGTGAGTGGCTATGTTTATGTTCATAATGAAGTACTTTCTTAATATTAGTTATTTGTCAATATGAGAATAATAGCAAATGACATAAAGACTAAAGTCAACCCTAAATTACCTTATGTCTGGTAATTGATTTTGGGGTGGGGGAACCACATTTGCTGTTTCAAATCAAACAGCTAAACAAATAGCTACATTTTGTCATTAGATGGGGCTGTTAATACCTAGGTGTCTTCCAAATGAGTCCTAAATAAATAGGAAATCCATGAATTTTTAACTCAATAATTTATGTCTTTTATCAAGGCCTGTTCTCACTCTCCATTTTAGTCAAGTCAGTAGTATCAAATATGCTGATTATATTTACAAAAGAATGAATGCAATATCTTCAGATCCACAAATGGGAACCAAGCATTGATTTAAAGGGATCACCAGTAAATAATGCCAGATAAGTGGTGAGAAAGTAGCCCTATTTATTCAAAATTCTATGAGCACTAGGCATGTACAGTCCTTCAAGATTAAAAAAAAAAATAGCTAGGTCAGGGAAATTATATTCTCCTTTGTTTTCATCCAAGAGTTATCTTGGTCTGCAATCAATCCTTCAGAAAAATCTCTCCCATTTTCACTTTTGTGCTGTGTGTTAACTATGAACAAAATGATAGCGTATGTCAGTCAAATGTATTATTTTTATTGACATTAAAACCTGATTATTAATGCAGACGCTCACGGAAATTCAGATTAATATGAACAATATATTATTTCCTTCTAGTCACAATCTGTCATTTCGAAAACCATGGTTAATAAAATGCCAAAAATAAAAAGATCTGTTTAAATAAAAATGTATAATATATTCTGCACCCCATTTATATCATTTTGTGTTAACAGGCAGGTTAATATTAGCCAGTCTGTGAATGTGATACAAAGAAGATGATCTTCTTCTTTGTTTTAAAAACCTTTGGTATTTCTTTTAAACACTAAATTTCTAAAGGCTTGCTATTATTTAAAATATTAGTTCCAATTTTATAGAGTTGTTAAATTTAAAGACTCTAATATTTAATTAAAGGATTCAAAAGGAATCATTGAAAGAAGTGATCTGCACATTAAGAAAAAAATCCCTATTTCTATTTCTACTCTCTTGGTTCTTAGAAAATAAAAAAGAACTATTGTATGATTGTTTGCTTGTTCTGGTGTAACAGGAGGGAGCTGCCTGGATGATTCCAAATCTGGGGATGGAAGTCTAGTTTCTTGTCAAGAGGATAAGGAGTGACAAGTTTACATTTCTCAAAATCTCTGGTTCTAGGAGTCTCCTGCTTTCTCTGAATTTTTGCTTTCTGCTTTCATTTCACTTCCTGAGGATGCTGGCCTTGCAGGTAGAATCAATTAGATGAACACCAACCTGTGTGTCCCTGCCCCCATTTTATGCCTCCTTTTCCCAAAAATTTTACCTGATCAAGGTTGTGACTACAATAAACTTAATGGAGAGTTTAAGAGGAAGGCAGGGCGGAAGTTACAATATAGCCTATAAGGTAAACAACTAGAGTTTAATAGCTACCTCTACCTATCAAAGCATCTTTGCATTCCAACCACTGCGGAATTTTCACTCTTTCTCACCTCTCTTCAGCTCCAGCTTCCGGCCACAACTCTGGCCTGGGTTATCTCCTCTGACCTCCCCCATCTCCTTTCTGATAAGGTTATCCTCCCGCTCCAGAGCCCAGTTTGCTTCATTCACAAAACAGACGGGAGCTTTTCATCTATTGTAATTCCAGTTCAGAAAGGCATTGCTGGCCTGGGGTCATGCTGCGAAAAGCACACCCTTTAAGGTACACCCCTGTTCAGCACAGCCAATGCTCTCCCAGAGAGGAATTCTGTAGTCAATCAGCTTTTTGTTTCTTCTTCCTCCAACATTAGGTGCGGATTTAGGAATTAAGAATTTAGAATTTGGCTATGAGATGAAAGGGAACAACAAATAATGACAGTTCAAAAGACTTGTTAAACTTGAAATCTATAGTAAGACCCAACCTTTGTCTGCTGTGGACAAAGATACTGATGCCTAGGAGTAGTTAGGAGACTTGCTGGAGGTTATACAGCCTTTTCAAGTGGAAGCTGGATATAAGAATCTGGTCTAGGGCTGTTTCTATGATCTCATGAAACAACTTAATTTCTCAGAAGCCAAACAGCATTTCAGCTCTGTATATTTAATTCTTGACGATGTTGCCAGCATAGGTCCCACAGGAAAGAATATAGGCATATAGCAGGAGAGGCACACAGTCATTGCACACCTAAATAATATTATCTCAGATACTCTGGTACATTCACTATTCATTTTTTAGTTCTCTGTTCACCATTCATATGTAATTAATTCTCTAATACCCAGGCATGATGATGTTACGGAGGGCTCGTTTCATATTTTTACTAAAATCCTTTGCAGCCACATCAGAGATAAAATACCGAGCTGAAGCCTTCTTGTTCTGACCCACAAGAGAGTGAGTGTATTAGTTAAATGTCTTATGTTCCTAGAAAAACCAAACGGGGGGGTGGGAGGGTGGGCGTTGGTGGCAGAGAGCTGTAGGAAGAGAAAAAGAAATATGATTGGAGGAAGAGACAAATGGAAAATGATCCAAGTCAATCATGTTGCTGAAATACACCAAGAAAATATTTGTAATGTTATTATCCACTAGTAGAAATGAAATAATTTCTATAATATAATAAATTAGGCTCCTAACTCTTCTTTCTTAAATTTGTTGTACCAAATAGCTAAAGAAATAGTTTATAAATGTCAAGAAACTATGAGTAATAATCTTGAGAGCTAGACTTGACGGAAATGACTAACTTGAAAGAAGCTTACAAGATAAAGAGAAAAATGTATCCAAACCACTTCTGTTCACAGAAAGGAAGAAAGTCTCCTCAGCAGATTTCAGACATTTAACAACAAACTTGGCTGTAAACATTTGTCCAAACAGTCAACAGGACAAAGAAAATGCTCCTGTGAGAACAGTAACCAGATCTTAGGGCCCCCGGGCTTTGAAGTTTGAAATGCTTCCCCGGAACTGCCACATTCTTCTTTCTCTCCCGCCCTGCTGGAAGAACACAAAAGTAAATTCTCGTTTGTTCCCTCTTTCTGTTATCCTGCCAAAAATATACACTCACTGATAAAGCCCACCAGTGATTCATTACATACCATCATACCAAGGTTTCCAGTATAAATGCCATATTAAATGAGCCTCTTCTGTTTTATTAATGCTTAACAGACATTTAATAGCGATGATGGTGCCAATGATTCTTACCGTATCATACCATTAAAACCCAGATGTTTCTGTATGAAGCAAAGGAACCAGCCCCCAGGTTCTTTTCCTCCCCTCATTTCCTTAGCAGTGGCAGAGCTGGAATTCATCTGGAAGCAGAAATGATGGGATATAACCATTCTTTTCATATGTCTCCTTTTCTTTACAGGTCAATTCCATTTTCTCTATTCCTCCATTCTATCAATTAAGAGAAGAAAAAAGAAAAAAAGGAAAATGAGAAAAAGGAAGAGAGAGCAGAGGGAAAGGGGAGAAAGTTCTGTTGAATTAAAATTTAGGCTGAAAGTCTATATGTTTAACATGAAGTAAATAAACATAAATACATTAAATGATGCACATTTTAATTCCTGATATTTCATATATAATCTCGTGTGTTCCTTTCCTGAAGCCCTAGTGTTTCCCAGAGCCTTCATCCAAAGCATTAATTCATTTACCAGTCAGTGAAAGGAGTCAAACATGGTAGCTACGAGTCTTAGCACATGTCAATGAACTCATGAACAACTAAGACACTGCTCAGTTTGCGTTTTCTTTGTTAGTCTTGTTCCCAAGGGAACCTCTAAAGCCCGTATCTTTCTGAAAGTTTGTAGTAAGGAGCTAGATCTGGGCTTACCTTGTGGAGGCACTTTAGCTTCTGGGGGCCTCTGGCGGCTTACGACAGTGGCTTTCTCCAGACCTATCCACTTTGGGTCCTGATTAGAATCCTCAGTTCTGACCCAGCCCAGCCATCTTGATCACGTGGGTAAAATGGTCCTGGACAAAGATTGCTCCCACTGCCTCAGCAGATCTCAGCCCAGAGGCAAGAAAGATGTTAAAGCTGGCTATAGCAGCATGCAGGGAGTAAGAAAGATAATATAAACTAGAATTCCACTCACTCCAGGCATTGTCCTAAAAATGAATGCCTGTTTTGTTCCTTTGATATAAGGTCCCACAAAAGAGATTTTGGTTATCTCAGAGCAGTCTTCTGTCATTGTTTTTGCAACTCAGTAGAGTGACAATGATCAGAAGAAGTGGGGCGAGACTAGGGGCAGAAACAGCATCAACCCTTTCCCACACCTGTGCCATACCTTTATTTCCCTTATACATCCATCAGAAGGGACCTCACAGATGTTCTCTCGCCAGAGTCCCATGCTCTGTGTTTCCAAAGCAAAACCCAGGAAGCTGAAGCATAAGAATATGGAAATTGTCAAATGCTATCATTCACCAAGACCTTTTGACTGCACCTCTTTAAATATAACTTCAATTTGCCCCTTCCACCCTCACACCTTTCCTGCCACTGATCTCATTTAGAACCGCTTCACCTCTCTATTATCTACGTTTAACAACTATTTAAAAATACCAGACAGTGAGTAAATCAGGGATGAAAAAATGTAAGTGCTCCTACCTCTGCTTTAGGCATATGTAGTCTGGATCTTTTCATGCTGTATTAACAAGAATTAGAGGGGGCTATACCCCAGGTTTTGCCTGTTCCAGGAAGACTTCCATAACTTTGCTAGTTCACAGGTGAATTCTCTCCGTTGGTGCAGTTCTATGTAGTCAATAGAATGCCAGCCTGAAATTCATAACACCTTGCTCTGTCACCATCTTTGTGACCTCAAGGTCATCACTCAATGCCCTATGAAAAGAGTTGTCCAGTGAACGAGATGGGTTGTCTCAAAAAGATTATTACGAGAACTCATAGTACAGGGCTGACTGCTTGCCACCTTAACACATCATGATTGATATGCCAATATTGAGCTCATAATCTTGTCTTCTACTTCCTCATCCAACCAAACCAGTTCCCCTTCTCATATTTCCTTGCTGTGTAAAAGGCACTGCCTTCTACTAGAAACCTGAACATTTTCCTCAGCTCCTTGTTACTCCCCACATCTAATCAACCACTACGTGCCTAAATATTCTTCCAGTTAGTCTTCCTTTTCCAAGCCTACTGCTACTGCAGTTCAGATTCACCATCACTTTTTTAACTATGCAAATCACTGGACCAGTCACCAGACTGGCCATTCCAGCTTCCAGTCTTGCTCTTACTCCAGTCCATTCCTCACTCTCCTCTCTGGTTGAGTTTTCTCAAATAAAAATCTGATAATATCACTTTTTCTTAGGCCCCTTCAGTTGTTTTTCAATGTTACAAAATAAAATCCTCACTCCTGAGCCTGTCTGGTCTTGTCCTTACCGACTTTTCCAGGCTAGTCTTCAGTTGCTCACATTAGCAATAGTAGACCACATGTAGCTCCATCAACGCCAATCACCTGCTATCCCGCCTACTTTACCTCTGCCCTGGGACAGCCTTCGTTACTTTGTCCTCTTATTCAAGACAGCAGGAGTTTCATACCATAATGGGTTTCTTAAAATCCATCCATTATAGTATTGTGGCACCAGTCCATACTTCTAACATGCCGCTGATAGCAATGGATTTTTTTACATGACCACCTCTGACACAGAATGTAGGCCCCACTGATAAAACTTTCTATGCCCATTGTCTATATTAGGCTTAAAGCATAGTAGGGTTTAATAGGCAGCCAATAAATACTCACTGAATAAATTTGGTAGAAAGCTTTAATGCATGAGGGTCTGCAGGGGAATTGTAAAAGATGACCTCCAAAGTCCTTTCCAATTCTCAGATTTTCATTTGAGGATATTAATCCCTTCTATGGTTTTGGATATTACATGTATTCATGACTTCCACCCATAACTTCACGGTACTCCTTAACCTAAGCTTTAGGCCAAAATGTCCACCTGCCTGTTATATAGCTTCCCATATTAGTTGAGTAAACATCTCAAATTCAGTATGTACTAAACTAACTTACTTTCTCACACAACCTGCTCCACCTTTCCAGTTTTCTGTGTTTGTTGACACCATCCTCCTCTTAAGAGCCCATGTGAAAAACATAAAGGATGGCACCTCTCTCCTCTCTAAAACCAATCACCTCCTAGTCCTGCGAATTCCCCTTGCCCAAAGACCAGTTCTTTTTATCACTCCATCCCCTCACAGTCTCCATCAAATTGCTTGGGACTCTAATTAGCGCTTATTTTATTCTGACTTTCACGATTGTAGTTACATCTCTGTCCCAAAACTATATCCTAGAAAATTCCTGGGTTATGGCTACAACTCTGACAACTCATAGCATAGGGTTTGCAGGTAGGTAACAGGTGCTCAACAACTCTTGGTAGGATGGCTGAATGAATGTTAGGATCTTAAATTTAAATTGCTTTGGGGGCATGGATCTTGTTATATCCTTTTTTTGTTTCCCCCCTAATATAGTAAATATAGTAAAAGGCATTGAAAACAGGAAATACATATATTTTAATTGAGCACTGATCTGTTATTGTAATTCGGAGTTGCTGCAACAATTGGCTGTAGTTTTAATTTAAAGAAAACTGCTCTGCTATTAAAGGGGGGAAAATGTCCTTCAGACTCAGCTCCCAGCTGAAACCATCCAGGATCCAGGTTTCCCACCCCTTCCAGTGGCCTGATGTGCGGCGGGGGAGGAGCAATGAATAAGCAGGGCCTGAGGAGCAGGGAGAGCCGGATGGGGAAAGTCCCGGAAGTCATTGACCAGAGCTAGCGGCCGCCTCGGCGGGATCAGCTTGGGTTGTGGTCCCAACAATAACAAACTCGCGGGCCCGGCTGGAGCCGCCGGGGGCCCGAGCTTGGGGGCGGAACCCGGATTGGGGGAGGCGGGTGGGACGCTTCTCAAGGCCTCAGGGGATTGGAGGAAAGAGATGAGAGGCGGTGGGGCTCGAAGAGTGGGCCGGAGAGCTAACGGGTCGACCGAGGAGAGAGCGTGTTGATTGGGTGACGCGGGGAGAGACGGACCGGAGCCGCCCACGGATTGGCCGTGTTGGTCTAGGAGGCGTGGCCAGAGCGCGCAAGAGGGAGCGCGAGGGAGCGCGAGGGAGCGGGAGGCCGGCCTGCCTGCCAGCTAGCCGGAGCGGCGGGCGAGCGCGGCGAGCAGGCGCAGGGTTGAGGGACGCGGTGCGGGAGGCGCGCTCCCCAGCTCCGCCGCTGCCGTCTCCCGCGCCTCAAGCACCCCGTTTCCTTCCCTCCCCTCCCCTGCACTCCGGCCTGGGGTCCTGGGCGGGGAGCGGAGGGAAGGAACGAAGGAGGAGGAGGCGAAAGCGGAGCGAGGGGCGGAGGAGGTCCCGGCGCGGGGCGAGGCGCGCGCTGCCTCTCGCTCTCCCGCCGCATCCGCCGCCTCCTTGCCGGGCGCGGCGGCCCCGGGGCGCGCGGGACTCCCGGGGCGCCCGCACTATGCAGGCGGACTGCCGGCCGCCGCGATGGCGAGCCGGGCGGTGGTGAGAGCCAGGCGCAGCCCGCACGGTTCGCGAGTCCGGGCCGCGGCCGCCGCCCCCGCCCGGGCCGCGCTCCTCCACTCGCACTCCTGCCTCCTCCCTCCCCGCTCCAACTCCTCCTCCTCCCCTATGCCTCTGTTCCTTCTGCTCCTACTTATCCTGCTCCTGCTGCTCGAGGACGTCGGAGCCCAGCAAGGTGAGTGGTCGCCAGGGAGTGCGCGGCGCGTGGAGCCCCCTGGGCGGCCGGCGCGCGAGCGAGGAGAGCCTCCGGGGCGCCAGGTGTGCAGGCCACGAGCGGAATCTGCAGATGCGCGGGGGAGATGCGGGGCGCTTCGGGCGGGTGGGCAGACCTGGCTCCGCACTCACTACGTGGAGTAGCAAAGGTGGGATCAGCCTGTTGGCGCGGCTTTACTTTTTTGGCAAGACGGTTCATTTTCCTGAAAAGAGGGAAGCGAGACCCTGCTATCAAGTGTTCCTTTTTGGTATTGGATTCTTCTGGGGAAAATCTTTGGTAGGGAAAAGAGAAGTTTTGGAGACGTGACCCTTAAAGTTAAGCTAAATGGATGGATGGACAGAGTAGAAAGGCAAGGTAATTGAATAGCATCTTAAACATATTAAAAGCAAGGGTCTGTGATTACCATCTTTTGTGAAAGTTCTCAGGTTCAAAAGCGAGTGAAATGGATTCGGGTTATGTTTGAGTCTTGGATTCAGAACGTGTCCTTTACAATCGCTACCTATTCAGGATGGTGGCCTAGATTGCCCAGATCAGACACTGACCCTGTGCAGCGTGCTGTGTTGCCTAACTGGAGCGCTCCTTACACTCGTTAAAAGTGTAAGGCCCTTCCAGAAAGGGGACGAAACTTGTTTTCCATCTGCAGTTCTTGAAAAACCTATACCAGAAGCGAGCGAAACCGTTTATTGAATAATCACCATGATGGAAAGAGAATGCAGAACTGATTTTTTCCACCCTTTTAGTACTGTTTTCAGGCAGCGAGCCGCAATTTTTGAATCAGTTTGCGTTTATTGAACACATTTTCCATTTTATTGCAGTGAGAAGGATAAGGATTGGACTGTTTCTTATTGCTGGGAAGTTTTGTTTTGGTTTTTTAATCTCCACGTTTAAGTCCAGCTTAATGTTGCTCTCATGTGGTTTTTCAGTACAGTATGGAATCGTGGCCATAAGCCTGTCGTTATGAAGATGCTGAAACTGACAGGCATATGGAAATATAATCTAACTATAAGGAAAAAATGTGTTTGGTAAACTGACCTCTTTTAGCTCTGAGCACATTTCTACATATGTAGATGCTTAGCATTCAAGTTTTATTTAGATAATCTTAAATTCATTTTTGAACATCAGCATTTAATAGAGTGTGAAATCTTTCCCTAGGTTGAAATTTTAGAGCCTATGCTTATATTTCCCTCCTGGTAGGAAAAAAAAAAAATGGCTTATTGGGGCTTACTTTGTGGCAGGCACAATACCAAGTAGTTACAATGTACAATATTAAATCAATCCTCACCACAACCATTTGAGATCAGTATTGTTATCCCATTTCAAACATAGGAAACTGAGACAAAAAAATATAAGGTACCTTGATACAGAAAAGAATATAATACATAATCACAATAACCCGACTTGCTTATTTCTAGTTCTGAAAGTGTTTATATCATGTTTTTTTTTTTTAATCTTTGAACGGTATAGAATCAGTTATATGTCTCACGCCCTCCCCCCATAAGACGATTGCCTTGTTTTTTGAATCTCTCAAGTCTGATCTAATTAAATATGTAACATTACCTTTTTTAAAGATATAATTTCAGTTTTCACTGGAGCATTGTAACAAATATGTTTGTCTTACACAGTGTCATCTTGTATAAACACCAATGTAGATTAGCTTAAACAGAAATGATGCTGGTACTTTAAAAGACCTGATTTCTAATTCTTCTAAGTTGACTGGGTAGTAAGTCGTTTAATTTCTTCATACCTCAGTTTTCTACATCAGTGATACAAGAATACATACCTGTTCCATAACTTAATGAAAATGAAATTATAGCACACAGGAATTGTGCAAAGGGGAAAGCTTAATATAGCTGTAACTGATTATCCTTGTTAACTTTGCGCTTACTAAATTATCTGATAAAATAAGGACCAGTTAGGTATATATCACATAAATATTCAGAAATTGTGTGCGATTTCAACTCCCTGATTTTTTAAAAATTCTGTTTTCTTACCCAAAGGACCCTAATGCAGTCTGTGGTGTAATTGCTTTTAAACCAGTCTTCCTAGTCTAACAGGTGTGCTTCAAGGTCCACTGGTGTTTCCTCACATAACCTGAAAAGAAGTGTAATTTCAAAATGAGAAGCGGTGCTTTAAAACATCTATACAATTTTTAATAATAGGAATGTCTAAATGTTGTAAAGCTATAAGCTAGAGTTTTTACTTTACAGGAAGTATTAGGAAAAAGACTGGAAGGAAATAGTAAAATGATACCACTTGTCTTTTGTTGATGGAGTTGTAATTTCTTCTTTATGCTTTTCCAAATTCTCTGCAGTTTACATATAGTCAGAATAAAAAATAAACTGCAGAAATGTTTTGTGATAGATTTTTTTTTTCTCAGCCAGCCTAGGTAGAGATACATTTAATATATATGTTGAGGTAGAACGGTGCTTCAGGTATTTTTTTTTTAATCTTTCAGACATCATTTTGAAATAGTAGGAGATATTACCCTCATTCCAGTTAGCGCCATATATAGCTCTTCCTCAGCAGGTTTTCTGCTGATAGAGTGATTTTTATTTTTATTTGGCTCAGAATAAAATTTATCATTGGTCTGAAAACTTGTCAACCTTTCATAGCAGAGATGTATTTTAACCAATCCCATATCATTAATATATTTATAAATAGATCTGTTTATTCACATCTGTTATACTGGTATGGTTTTAGATATGTGGCTTATATTTGTGTATTTTTGAGTTGTAATTTGATATTAAATTAATCTTTAAAATATTTTTCTTTTTTATTGAAGGCATTTTTTTCCTGTAAAATGTACATCTTTCTAAAAAATTTAAATAGTTGAAACTTACGCTGATTGCATATTAGCTACTGTAATAAATTTACTTAATAGGAAGTTGAAGGTCTCCAATGAATGAATGTATGTCTCCAGTTTACATTATGACTAGGAATTTGTGTCACCTCATCTCAGGATCCCATCCTCATTTGTATCTTGAAGAGCTTGCTACCTTCTGGGTTAGAATATATTTGAATGTGGAGTGAATTTTAAAATCTGCCATGTTTATGATTATTAATATGAAATGTTTGTGAAGATACTGATTTTTGTTTGCTAACTTAATAAACCAATGAACAAGTCAGGTTCTTTTGTAAAAAGAATTCAGTTCCACAATGATATTTGGAACTAATGTGTGGGAAAAAAATTATATTCTGTCAAATAATGCCTTTATTTGCTAGTGATGTAGGGAAATGTTTCTTTGAACAATATTTATGAATTGTCAAAATTGAAAAGCGCATCTCTCTCTTCAAAGAACATGTGTAGTTACTTCTAGTGTTAACATTAGGTTAATTTAGAATTTTCTATTGTCTTTCCTGGTGCTATGATAAAATTTTAGGGCTCTTATGTGGAGTTTTGTTCAGAGGCAAAAACCAAGGCATTCTTTTTCTGCTATATTTCTGATTAATTTTGCATAATGGAAATTAGAAATATTGCACATATTCCACATATGCTAATGATCAGATTAAAATCCACATTTTAAAAGTTATAAATGAAAAATTAACTGTAAAATTATAGGTTAATGATTTTTTTTTAATTCTTTTTTTCTTTTTTTTAAAGATTTTATTGGGGAATTGAGGAAGGGGAACACTGTTGGGGAATTGGGGAAGGGGAACAGCCAAGTTGTTGTCCTTCAATCTTAGTTGTGGAGGGCACAGCTAGCTTCGCTCCAAATCCAGTCGCCATCCAGCTGCCCATGGCAGCTCGCAGCCGCTCAGCTCAAGGTGCTGTGTTCAATCTTAGTTGCAGGTGGGCGTAGCCCCACCATCCCATGTAGGAGTTGAACCGGGCAACCTTGTTGTTAGGAGCACGTGCTCTCACCAGTTGAGCCAATGTGCCACATGTTGGCAGCTCAGCAACAGCTCAGCGTGGGTGCAGCTCACTGGCCCATGTGGGAATCAAACCAGCAACCGTGTTGCTCAGAGCTCGCACTCTTAACCAACTGAGCCACTCGACTGGCCAGAGGTTAATAATTTTTAAGTAATTTCCTAATGTTATAAGCAGAGAGGAAACGTTATTTCTCTTTGGAGATAGTAGTTCTGTTTTAACATCAGAGCTTCATTCTAGAAGATCAACATAAAAAAAGTCTTAAGATAGTGAAACTGTTATAAGTGAAAGTACCACTAATAGAATTAAGTGACAAATTAATTAATTTCCAGAAAGAAGTAATGGGATTATAGTATGATGAGGACAGGTTAGATTTACATAGCGGTAGATTTTAAATTCAGACTATATTTAATAAAATAAATGTGGGGTGTGAAAGCCCAGGAGGTAATATTGGGCATTAATTGAATGCATGCAGGTAAATAGTTTCTATTTCCACTTCTTGATTAGTTGGAAGGGTGTGGAATGATGACATAAAATTAGGATGATTAGGAAAAGCTTTATAGAGAGGGTGATATTTGCTAAATGTGATTGTTGAAGTAGAAAGTGAGACAATTTGGCAATTTTTCTTGTATGTCTTGCCTCGTGACTTTAGTTCATTTTAGAACAACCTTATGGCCGTAGCATTTTATTTTTAAAATATTGTACAGATAACAGTGATTGTTACTCAAAACCAAGAAATTTAAATGATAATTATCCATAGTTCTACCCCTAATCTATCAATCTATAATTTTTATGTTCCCTTTTGAATCCATATTCACACACCTACATGATCTTACATGGTTGTAATTTTAGTACTCTTGTGTTATGTTTTGTAGGCTAACACGTAAGTGTACTTACAAAATACAACAAGACAAACTTTCAAAATGGAAAAATTCTTCACAAGACATTCATTATTTATGAAGTAATTATTATATTGTTCAGAATTGATATTACATCATTTTCTTTCCATTGGATTAATTTCTTTATTCCACTGGTTTAAATTCTTCATTCAGAATAGGATCTTTGAGCAAGTACAGTAAGTCCTCAGTGTCAT